TTGATGGATGGATGGATATGGATGATGCTAAATGAATCGGTGATGAATGTATGGTAGAGGAATGAGTGATGGATGGATGAGTTGATGATGAACGATGGATGGATGAATGATTGATATATTATGGATGGACTGATGATGGCTGTATGGATGACAGATGGTTGAATGGTGGATGAATGGATGATGGATGGGTGAAGGGATGATGGATGATGGATGGATGGATGGATGGATGGATGGACGGACGGATGGATGGATGATGGTTGATGGATGGATGGATGTGGATGATGCTAAATGGATCGGTGATGGATGGATGGTAGAGGAATGAGTGATGGATGGATGAGTGGATGATGGATGATGAATGATGGATGGAGGGGTGGATGAATGAATGAGTGGGTGGGTAGATGGATGAAGGATGGAGCAGCGGGTGGATAGGTGGGTGGGAATATAGATGGATGGGTGAGTGGATAGATGAACTGAGACATGAGTAGGTGGATAGATGGATGGGTGGGTGGGTGGGTAGGTAGAGGAACAGATGAGCAGGTGGATGGATTATGGATGGGTGGAGGGATGGAGATATGAGTGGAGGGACAAAGTCATGATGGATGGATGATTGGAAGGATGGAAAAATGATTGAGGGGTGATGAATGGATGAGTGGAGGGATGGACGGATGGGTGATGGAGGAATAGATGGAGGGATGAATAGATCATGTGGAATGAATGGACACGTGGAGGGATGAAGTGAGATTGTTAGAGAGGAGTGGAGAGATGGCTAATGGACATACTGAGAGATCGGATCCCCTCACCTCGGAAAACAACGAGTAAAAGCATGTCTTCTATGGAGGACATGCTGAAAGGGCTGAGTTCATGCTTTGCTTGCTGGAGCCTAGGTACCATCGCTGGCCCCACCTGGTCCCCAGAGCACATAAATGTGACAAAAAAAAATAAAGAAAAAAGGGTCTGGAGCAATAGCACAGCGGGTAGGGTGTTTGCCTTACATGGAGCCAACATGGCTGATCCAGGTTCGATTCCCAGCATCCCATATGGCCCCCCGAGCACCGCCAGGAGTAATTCCTGAGTACATGAGCCAGGAGTAACCCCTGAGCATCGCCAGGTGTGACCCAAAAAGTAAAATAATAATAATAATAATAATAATAAAGAAAAAAGAGGGGCTGGAGCAATAGCACAGCGGGTAGGGCGTTTGCCTTGCACGCGGCTGACCCAGGTTCGATTCCCAGCATCCCATATGGTCTTCCGAGAACTGCCAGGAGTGATTCCTGAGTGCATGAGCCAGGAGTAAGCCCTGAGCATCGCCGGGTGTGACCCAAAAATCAAAAAAATAATAATAATAAAAATAAAGAAAAAAGAAAATATGATTTTTGTTTGTTAGGGGGTCATATCCGGTGATGCTCAGGGCTTACTCTTGACTCTGCCCTCAGGAATCACTCCTGGTGATGCTTGGGAATGCTAGGGGGTTCCGGGGGGTCAAACCCAGGCTGACCACATGCCAAATAAGCACCCACCCTATTGTCCTATCTCTCCAGTCCCATAAGTATTATTTTTTTCTTTCTTTCTTTTTTGGGTCACACCCAGCGATGCTTAGGGGCTATTCCTGGCTCTGCACTCAGGAATCACTCCTGGCGGTGCTCAGGAGACCCTATGGGATGCTGGGAATCGAACCCGGGTCGGCCACACGCAAGGCAAATGCCCTCCCCGCTGTGCTATCGCTCCAGCCCCACAAGTCTTATTTCTGATCTCTCTCTTCCCCCCCGTCTAAAAATAGAACAGAAGAAGAAATGAGAGACATTGGCCCCAGTGGCCCCCTAATTATAGCCCCTCATCTTTCCTGGTGCTGCCACGACCTTCTCTTTTCTCTCTGCCCTTCCACCAGATGCCAGGTGTTGCTCCTGGGTTCACTCTTCTGACAAGGAGGAGCCCACAAGTCAGGAGCACTGTTCTTGGGGTCCCTTCCTCTGGTCCCCTGCAATGCCCTCTTGGTGGCTCCCCATCTACAGCCCCGCCGTGAGCTGGACATGGGAGTCTGCTTCCAGGAGAGAAACACGATCAAGGGAGCACTCCCAGATGAGGCCAACCAGAGAACACCCGCTGCCGTTTCTGAGGCCTGTGGTAGCTGAGCAGAGGAAACCCAAGCAATGAGAAAGCTCCTACTCTCTCTGCAACGCCCAACCCAAAAGGCCCCTTTGCTTAAAGCCTAACTCCTCCCCAAGACACCGCCTTGCCTTTACACCAGGGAGCCGAGAAGAGCAGTTTCTTCCTCTGCCATAGTCTGGGGGTAGGAGGCAAGGCAAGGGGGGAGGGGGCATGTTTGGTTCTATTTCCCCCAGTTAAGGGTATCGTGAAGATACTTGAAGACACCAGGCAGGTCTGAGACCCTTGTTGTTAACAGTGCAGCACAGAGAACCAAGATCCCCAGTGTGTAGCTGCCTCTCCCCACCCCGAGCAGAGCCCCGGCAGCTGAAGACCTCCGGTTCCAGCCACAGCCATGCTTCAAACCACTCTCTCCACATGTTCAGACAAGCCTCACGCATGAAGGAACCGGCAGAGGAACCCAGGTGTGCGGGACCCGGGGCGTGAATCTACAAGCCTGCTCGGATTGGGACGGGGGCCTCCTCCACCCAGATCCCCCATCTTCCAGTATATAGGCATTACACCCACCAACTGCCCCCAGCACCGTGTAATCCCATCAACAGCCAAGACCCAGAGACTATAAAACCCAGCTCCTGGAAGCGCACGGCCGCATTTGCGGCCACACCACATCTTATTATCTAGTTCTTACTCTGGAGAACCTGGCAGGCTACCAAAAGTATCCTGCATACACGACAGAGTCTGGCAAACTCCCCGTGTCGTATTCAATATGCCAAAACCCAGTAACAATGATGGGTCTCATTCTCCTCACCCTGAAAGAGCCTCGAATAGGGCACTTTTTAAAAAAATCTCAGGGCTAGGACGAAGGAGATGTTACTGGGGCCTGCTCGAGGCAATCGATGACCAACAGGATGACAGTGATACAGTGATAATAAATAAATAATTTGGGGGTAAGAAACCCAGTTGTATGGCAGACCCAAGCAGAACTCCACGCCCAGCCCTCAGACCAACCCCGTTTCCCACTCGCTGTTATCGAAACCCCATGAGGATCCCGGACCTCTGAAAGCCCGGCCCATCCAGGCTACTTCCTCCTGTCCCAGAAGCCAGGGGAAAAAAACAAATACAAGCAAATTTAGGATGGCCTCTGGCCAGAGGGATTGGTGGGGGCTGGGAGGGGGGTGTGGACAAGAAGGGGGTTCTAGAACTGGACGTTCTCGGGGCCAGAGCAATAATACAGAAGCAAACAGGGGGTTTCCCTTGCATGGCGCCAACCCAGGTTCAATCCCGGCCACCCCATGGGATCCCCAGAGCACTGCCAAGAGTGATTCCTGAGCACAGAGCCAGGAGAAAGCCCTGAGTACCACCGGGTGTGATCCATAAACAGGAAAGAAGGAAGGATGGAAGGAAGGAAGGAAGGAAGGAAGGAAGGAAGGAAGGAAGGAAGGAAGGAAGGGAGGGAGGGAGGGAAGGAAGAAAGGATGGGAGGAAGGAGGAAGGAAGGGAGGGAGGGATGAATGGAAGGAGGGAAGAAAGGAGGGAAGGAAGGGAGGGAGGGAGGGAGGGAGGGAGGGAGGAAAGGAAGGAGGGAAGCAAGAAGGGGAGGGAGAGAGGAAGGGAGGGAAGGTAGGAGGGAAGGAAGGAAGGAAAGGAGGGTGGGAGGGAGGAAGGAAGGAAGGAAGGAAGGAAGGAAAGAAGGAAGGAAGGAAAGAAGGGAGGGAGGGTCGAATACATTTCCCACCCATGACCTTGAAACCCCCCCCACCCTCTGCTCAAACTCCAGCTTCCCCTCTGCCTTCTGCACGTGGCCTCCTAAACCAGTCAGAGTCCTGAGTGTCCCCTCCATTCCTTGGTGTCCCCGAGAAGCACCCCCACCTCCCACCAGTACCCTGAGACAACTCCCCCGCTCTCAGAGCCCAGCCTGGATAGGTGGGGGAGGCTCCCCTCCAGCTCCCAAGCCATGTGGGGGTGCTCCCAGCTCCCCTCCCAACCCCGCCCCACCTCTGAGGCCATCCAGACCCAGAAAAGGTGCCACCTGGGCCACCTCGATCGAGTCGACCTTCACCCTGCCCCAACCACATTCAAATCGGGATTTGAATCTATTTCCTGGCACCCCCCCCCCCCACACACACACACACACCACCCTGCATCAAATCCACCCGCCACCTCCGTGCCTTGGATCCTGGTGCTTGCAGAAAAGCCCGTGGGAGGGAAAGGAGCTGTGGCCCAAATCAGGGGTGTGGAAGAGAAGGGGGCGTCCAGGACTAAGGCCTCTGGGAACACAGCTCAGAGTTCAGAACCCCGGGCCGCCCCACTCTGCTGGGGTTCAGGGCAGGCAGGAAGCCAAGAGGAAGGAAGGAGGGGGAAGGAAAGGCCCCGAGACTCCCCCGGGGCCAGAATCTGGGAAGATGAAGGACATTCAGGGGGGACCGAGATGCGCCTGAAGACCACCAGCGCCCACCCCCGCTCCTCCACCACCTCCCCAAGGGATCTGGGTATCAGCTTGGCCTCAGTCTGGAGCTGGCAAACATTGATCCCCAGTCTGCCCCGCCTCAGTGGGGGCGCTGGCAAACGCGTTCACGAGGAAATGAGTGGGTGGGGGGCTGGAGGCTGATGATCTGAACCCCAGAGAGGTGATCAATCGCCCCCATCCCACTCCCAGCGCCAGGCCGATGCCAGCCAGCACCCCTTTAGCTGGGGAGGAGAGACCTCCCGAACCCGGAACGAGAAGGCACCACCACCCCCATTCACCAGCACCACCACCAGGAGAGGACCAGGCCCGGGTGCCCGCGTGCCCCTCTGGCACCCCGACCAGCTCCGTGCCAGCTCCGCACACGCGTGCGCGCACACACACACACACACACGCGCGCGCGCGCGCTTGGGGACAGCGGGTACCCTCTCACCTGGGACATCTGGGGACGCAGGTTGACCTCTCGCAGGTTGATGGCGTGGGGCAGCAGGTTGTTGAGCAGCTGGCAGAGCAAGACGCCGTCGCGCAGGGCCTGGGCCAGCTCGCACACCTGCGCGCCCTCCCAGGTCACCCGGTGGCTGGCGGGCAGCACCCGGCACTCGATGAGCCAACGCGCGCACCGGCGCCACATCTCCATGGCCCTGGCCTGCCCGGGGCCCGTGCGCCCTCGCCGCCGCCACCGACACCCCGCCCGGGCCCAGCGCTCTCGCCACCACTTCCTCTTCTCTACTTGTAACTGCAACTGTCGTGGTGTCGACGGCTGCAGGAGGAGGAGCTGGAGGAGGAGGAAGGGGAAGGGGAGCACCTGCCCGCCCAGCTCTTCCACGCGGGACCTGGCTGGCCTCTGGTGTTCCCGCCCCCACCGGGGCTGTGTGGAGCAGGTGGGCACCCACGGGGCCATCAAGCTGCGTCCTTCCCCATCGGGTCCCTGGGCACTGAACTCTGCTGAAAGCAGCTCCAAAAAACACCCTCTTCTTCCTCTCTCTCCTGCAGGGTACCCAAGGAGTCCTTCTGCTTCTGACAGTCCACCTCCCTTAGGGTCAGGGTTCTCTCTGAAGCCCATCAGGGCCTCTCTGGCCTGCCTTGTCTCCTCTCCGCCTTCTCCCTCTGGTCACTTCCTTGCTCCTGCACATCCCAGCCTGCCCCAGGACCTTGGCACAGGGCTCTGTCGACCTCAGTCTTAGGTGAACTCAGGACTCACCCTCTGCAGAGTCACAGATATCCCAACATTTCCCCCTTCCTCCGCGAACCTCTGATCACCATCTTCGGTAACTGTCAGTGGGTACTGGGGCAGGAGGGGTACAAGTTTGAACTGGGGCTTCTACACAGGACATATGTGCAGTGCCCCAGACCTTTCTTTTTTTTTCTATTTTCTTTTCTTTCTTTTTTTTTTCTTTTTGACTTTTTGGGTCACACCCAGCAGTGTCCAGGGGTTACTCCTGGCTCTGCACTCAGGAATTGCTGCTGGCAGTGCTCCAGGGACCCCATGGGATGCTGGGGATCGAACCCGAATCAGCCTCTTGCAAGGCGAATGCCCACCCCACTGTACTATCCTTCCGGTCCCATCCCAGATCCCTTTTTTTTTTTTTTTTTTTTGCTTTTTGGGTCACACCCAGCGATGCTCAGGGGTTCCTCCTGGTTCATGCACTCAGGAATTACTCCTGGTGGTGCTTGGGGGACCATATGGGATGCCAGGGATTGAACCCAGGTCGGCCATGTGCAAGGCAAATGTCCTACCCCTGTGCTATCAATCCAGCCCCCCTCTGATCCCCTTTTAAAACTGTTTTTAGGAGATAATATAGTGAGGAAAACACAAACCCACCCAGTTTCGATCCCTGGCACCCCATAGGGTCCCCTGAGCACAACCAGACATGAACTCTGAGTGCAGAGTCAGGAGTCAGCCCTGAGCACCACCGGGTGCGGCCCCAAAACCTGTCTCCTACCTTCATTGTTTCCCGGCTCCAAACTGGATGCAGATACAGGCTCCACTAAACATCTGTTAAATGAATGAATGACTATTACCATCTCCCCAGCCTTAACTTGGGGGCCACTCATGGAGGCAGGGATGAACCCCCGTGTCTAGCATGCAAACCTCTCTCTTCAGCTCTTGGCTCTGTCCGATGGTTCCTTCATTCCTTGACCAATCATATCGTCCTAGTCCTTCTCATTCCCTGAAACCATCTCCTCTCTGTGGACTGTCTCACTCTCCCATCTCCAACCTCCAAGCCTGGGAATATTCTCCCATTTTTCATCTCCAAAACAGCTTACTCTGTCTCTGTCTCTGTCTCTGTCTCTGTCTCTGTCTCTCTCTCTCTGTCTCTCTCTCTGTCTCGCTCTCTCTCTCTCTGTCTCTCTGTCTCTCTGTCTGTCTCTCTGTCTCTCTCTCTCTTTCTCTCTCCCTCTCTGTCTCTCTGTCTCTCTGTGTCTGTCTCTCTCTGTCTCTCTCTCTTCCTGTCTCTCTGTCTGTCTCTGTCTCTGTCTCTGTCTCTGTCTCTGTCTCTCTCTCTCCCTCTCTCTCTCCCCACTTAGCAAACACCCACTGGTTTTGGGGGTTGGTTGGGGTTTCTTTCATCCTGATCACCTCTAGGGAGGCTGTCCGCTAAGGGGCGCTCTAGCCCCCTACACCGAGCATTCCCACCCCCCCAGACCTCTCATAAGCGACCCTAACTTACAAAACCAGGCTGGGGGCACTTAAGAGACCCCCCTGCATAGCCAGGGGTTTCTTCCAGCCTGACTTGGGGGCTGGGGTAATTTCTCCACCTGCAAACCAGAAACGCCTTGTTCTCCATTTCCAGTGACAACGGGGCTCTGCAGGACAGTCCAGGCTGCGGAAGTGAAAGCCAGGAAAGGGGTTTGAATCCCACACCCCGTCTTCACAGCCCGGGTCCACTGGCCCTGCTCAGCTGCTCCCTGCCTCAGTTTCTGCGTGTGGAAATGGGGAAGTGTAGACACTGAAGTGGTTCTTCCCTCCCCGAGTGGGCTGTGCTTAAAAGTAAATGTAGGGGTTGGAGAGATGCGACAGCCGGTAAGGCACGCGACCACCCGGGTTTGGTCCCCCAGCAACACCAGGAATAATTTCAGAATGCAGAACCAGGAGTATCGCGGGGTGTGGAAAAAAAATAAATAAATAAATAAAAGTAAATGCGAGTGAACATTTACAAGTCATTGCTTGAAAAATTATAAGTTTTTTAACTTAAAATTTTTAGCTTTAAAATTTAACTTAAGGGGCTGGAGCAATAGCACAGGGGGTAGGGCGTTTGCCTTGCACGCGGCCAACCCGGGTTCGATTCCCAGCATCCCATAGGGTCCCCTGAGCATTGCCAGGTGTGATCCGAAAAGCAAATAAATAAATAAATAAATAAAAATTAAAAAATAAAGTAAAATTTAACTTAAGAGGCTGGAGCGATAGCACAGCGGGTAGGGCGTTTGCCTTGCATGCGGCTGACGCGGGTTCGAATCCCAGCATCCCATAGGGTCCCCCGAGCACCGCCAGGAGTAGTTCCTGAGTGCATGAGCCAGGAGTGACCCCTGAGCATCGCCGGGTGTGACCCAAAAAGCAAAAAAATAATAATAATAATAACTTAAAATTTTTTAACTTCAGGGGACTGGAGAGCTAGTACAGCGGGTAGGGCACTTGCCTTGCTCGCAGCTGACCCGGGTTCGATCTCCGGCATCCCATTGGGGGGGGATCCCCCATGAGCCACCAACAATATTTCCTGAGTGCAGAATCAGGAGTCACTCGAGCATCGCCAGGTGTGGTCCCAACTTAATAATGATCATTATTTTTTTAAATAATAAGTAAAAATTAAAATTACTGTTGCCCTTCTCGAGCCTTCAGAATGGGTGGACACCCCCTCATCTCCAGGCATCAAGATGAAAACGCAGGGGCTGGAGCGAGAGCACAGCGGGGAGGGCGTTGGCCTTGCACGCAGCCGACCCGGGTTCGATTCCCAGCATCCCAGAGGGTCCCCCGAGCACTGCCAGGAGTGATTCTTGAGTGCAGAGCCAGGAGGAACCCCTGTGCATTGCCAGGTGTGACCCAGAAAGCAAAAAAAAAAGAGAGAGAGAGAGAGAGAAAGCAAACCCCTCACACATCTTTCCTCCCACCGGGACCCCCCACCCTCCAACCGCAGGTTAATAATTCCATCACGCAATGTGGGGGGTGGGGGGAGAGGCGAAAGGCTGCCACGTTTTCCCGCATTTCTCTCCACAACCCCGGTCACGGTTCTTTCCGGGAACCCCAGCGGGGCGGGCTGGAGGAAGCAGCACCCCTGCACGTCACACAGCCCAGCCGGCACCCACACCCCACCCACACCCCCAGCCAGGCGAGGGGGTCCAAAGAGCCCCTCCACCTGCCCTGATCCTAGGAGAAGGGGAAGTTGAAGGAAAGGGACGACTCGCCCCATGTGGACGCGAGGGGGCTTAACTGCAAGGAAGGGTCAGCTGGGGAGCAGGGGGCCCCGTTTCCCCAAGGGCGGGGTGCAAGTGGGCGTGGCGAGGAGCAGGTGGGCGGGGCGACGCCAGCCGAGTGGGTGGGGCCCGGGGCCGGCTGGGAGTTTCCCTAGGGGGCGTGGCCTTCGGAGCAGCCGCGTCAGCCGAAGGGGGCGGGGCTCGCACGAGGAGGCGGTCCCTGAGTGGTTCCCGCCGTGGTGGTGGTGGGCGGAGTCCAAAAGGGGGCGTGTCCCCAGCGGGCCTTGGGGCGGGGTTTGCAGGAGGAGCAGGTGGGCGGGGCGACGCGCGCCGAGTGGGTGGGGCCCGGGGCCGGCTGAGAGTTTCCCTAGGGGGCGTGGCCTTCGGAGCCGCCGCGTCAGCCGAAGGGGGCGGGGCTCGCACGAGGAGGCGGTCCCTGAGTGGTTCCCGCCGTGGTGGTGGGCGGAGTCCAAAAGGGGGCGTGTCCCCAGCCGGCCTTGGGGCGGGGTTTGCAGGAGGAGCAGGTGGGCGGGGCGACGCGCGCCGAGTGGGTGGGGCCCGGGGCCGGCTGGGAGTTTCCCTAGGGGGCGTGGCCTTCGGAGCCGCCGCAGCAGCCGAAGGGGGCGGGGCTCGCACGAGGGGATGGTCCCTGAGTGGTTCCCGCCGTGGTGGGCGGGGTCAAAAGGGGGCGTGTCCCCAGCCGGCCTTGGGGCGGGGTTTGCAGGAGAGAAGAGCCAGGTGATTGGGCTTCGTTCCCAGGGGGCGGAGCCGAGCAGGTGGGACCCGCCCGCGGCGGGAAGGGCGGGACCGGGAGCCGCAGAGCCTCTGGCTTCAACTGGCCCCGGGTCCTTAGGAGCTCCGCGGGTCCCCAGCTAGGTGAGTGAGGGTCCCAGGGCGGATCAAGATCCTGGGATTAGTGGAGTGGGAGTCCAGGTGATTGCACAGGCTTGCAGGGAGGATCTCGGTGCCTTACCTGCGTGCGTCTGGAGCTTGGAGCCCGCCCGACCGCGTGTGCCTGCACCTGGCTGTACCAGGGCGTGTGTTCGCCTGAGCCTGTTGGTGCAATGCAGAGAACCTCGCCGCCTTCCACTCTTGCCCTGGAGCCAGATCTGTGCCCCTTCCTCGCTTCAAACCCGGCGTCCAGTGAGACGAACATTCAGTTCTCCCGCTGAATTCCTGGCCTCCCAAACCTCTCTGCAACTGTCCGCTCCTTGCACTGCAACCCACCAGCTGCACCAATGAGCCACGCGTCCTA